AGTGATTTTTTTATTGATTAAAATTATAAAGAAATGAAATGTGCAATAAACTGAGCCATAAAGTCAATAAATAAAGTCAATACATTCATTTAAAAAGGGACATTAAGAAAGTTAAAGGTGATCACAGCAGATAAAACTGAAGTCTATATGCACATGTTCTTAATGTCTTTCTTCTTTGAAGCCACTGGATGGCGTTGTCTGTTCAACAAAGGTTTGAAAGCACACTTCACTGCCAGTCTGTCAACCTTGATCTTTAAACCAAGACCGCCATCTGGTGGAGTCAGAAAATAAAGAAAGTGGTTCATGACGCTTCATTTGTCCATCACTAGTTTTTGTATTTCAGTCTGAATCCGGCCCTCTACTGGGGGACCAGGGTAATCCTGATGTTTTGGATCAGAGTAATCCTGATCCTGTTCAAATTGAACGACACAAACTGGAGGTTTGATCCAGATAAGAAACCTGATTGGATGATCTGATCTTATCTGATGACATCATCCTGTTTTTCCTTTAAACAAGTAGATTTCAGGTTTGAATCGATCTGATTGGATCAATCCTGCCGGGCATCCCAGCTACATCAGCTGATCTCAAGTGATCTATCAGCTGATTGATGGAAGGGAGTCAGCTGATAGATCACATGATTCCTTTCTAAATACCATTCATGGCGCCCTATTTAAACTGGCCTGTCTACTGTTGCTGCTTCCTCTGCTAGCTGCTTTGCAACCTGACTCCACCACAGCTCCTCCTTTACAAGCTGTGTCTGACTTATCAGTGTCATTTCTGTTTGTCATTGATGCTGCTCTGTTCTGTTCCCAGGGGTCTTTGCTGCTGCTCTTTCTCTTTTCTGCCTTTCTATGTAGGCGTATCAAAGGGCAGAGAGGCCCCCCAGAACAGAGCCATAGGGCCAAATATAATGCTGCAAATGGAACTAAAGTATTCTTTGTGGGTCCTGGCTGAAATATGTAACATTTGTATGTTTCTTTGGATCATGTCAACATCTTTAAAATGATGTATTATATGAGCGTCATGTGGAAGTGGAAGAATGGCGGATGGTTTTGACACCTGCCGTGCTGCAGACCTCTGCTCAACAAACAACACAAAGTATGTCGGTAGAAAGATGGCACTTGTGTCTCCTGCTGCTCTGTGACGTACTGTTCAGTGATTGATGACTGTTTGTTGTTTCTCAGGGTGGAGGAGCAGAGGTGTCGTGTGCTGTGACTGCATCAAGACCCGCAGATTCTCAGAAATCACATAAGTCACACATTTTCATGTTTGAAGGATCCACCTTCACACTCTGTGACACCCTCTGCAGACTGACCACAGCGTCTCTACACCTTGACGTGAAACATGTCATGTGAAATGTGTAAAGCTGTGATGTGCTTTGAAATGCAGCAAGTCAAAACAAGCAAAGAGGAAAACTGTGCAACATTATTTGAAACTTTAACTGCAGTTGAAGGTCATGTATGAGCGAAGCTATGTAGCATGTTTTTATTGAAGCATACAGAATGTAATAAAATTCTTCCTGTGGATGAACTGTTTTTGTCAGCAGGGGGCAGAATAGGGCCTGTCCAGTGTGTGTGTGTGTGTGTGTGTGTGTGTGTGTGTGTTTGAGGGTGAGGGAAAAGAAGGGAAGGAACCACAGGGGAAACACTGAGAGAAAGAAAAGAGGAAATCAACACACTGATGGTGTTTTTTTCCAGTTTGTCTGCATGTATTTATGGAAACCTGTGACCTCATCACCTCAGAGCTAGCAGCTAATTTACATCTGTTGTCCCCTGGCAGGAAGACAACAAACAAATAAATAAACAGAGCAGCAAAAACACAACATGAAACAGGACGATGCATAAAAGTCCTTCAGTGTGAGATCATCACAGACACAGTATATCTGAGGCAATCACTGCTGATGAAACTTCTGTGCTCACTTTAGCTTGAGGTTGGATTTAAAGGTTCACACTGCAGGGTGCACAGTAGATTCTGTGTTTGTGATGTTGATGTGCGTGGACCTCCACAGCGCTCAGCTGAGGTTGTGACCAGGTGTCAGACCGTAAGCAGCGCCACAATCACCTTGATATGTTTACAGCAGAAAACCTCGAGCTGGTCAGCTGGCAGAAGAGGCAGCAGGACAGTTTGCAGAGTGGTGAGTTTCCTCCTCTCGACAAGTGACTCACAGTCACACCGACCACAGAAAGACCCGCCAGCACTTGCAGAACAGACACAGGAGGCTAAACTGAGCAGAGCTGCCACAGAAGTGACTGCGTCTACGTCATCAGGCATCAGGATCATATGAGAAGATGTTAACCTGAGGAAATGATGTATCTCAGGATATTGCAGTGACCATGATCCCTTTGCATTTTAGTGGTCAGGTTGGTCACACCTGCCTCTGTGGACAGTCATTTATTTAATCATCTAGCTTTCCTGTTTTATACATCATGAGTTGAAGTTCCTGGTTCTCAGGGTTAAGTCTTTGGTTTTTGGCTCCACCCACTGATATTTAACTGAACCACTGAGGCAGCAGCTCTGTCTGTCTGTCTGTCTGTCTGTCTGTCTCTGAAGGTCTTCAGGTTGAAGCATAAATTTAGTGTTGCATGATCAACAGCAGGTTGAAGCCACACAGGAAGAGACCACCTCTCACGGGCTTCTGACACTTCAGTGTGATGCTCAGTCAGTCAGCAGTGAGGCAACATGGAGGTCACGGCTCTCTGCGTCACACTGTGTGAGTACTGAGTCTGTCGATTAAAACTAAATGATGAAGAATCTGTGATCTCTTTGTGTAAACTGTTTATTTTTATGTTAACTGTTGTGTCTCAGTAAGAGAGAGCACAGTGACTCTGGAGAGCAGCTGTAGGAGTGGATAAATCATATGGACGCCATGAACGTGTCTCTGATGTTTAGCTGCTCTTCTTTGTCTCCTCAGTGATGAACGTGCTGCTCCTGCTGGGTGCACATGATCAGGAAGTTGGTGAGAACCTGTCAGTTGTTCATTTATGTTGTTAAATCATTTACCATTGTGGCAGATGTGTGCAGTCAAGTGTTAATGACAGAGAATATGTTCACTTTATGGTTCATAGAAATAAATAAAAGTTCACAGAAGTTAACATTTTCTATGCATTGATATATTGTTTGTTTGAATGTGATTCTGTTTTGTCCTCCTCTGTTTCAGAATCAGCAGTGCTTCATGTCGACCCAAACAGACTGCAGTTCTTTGAGTATGAACCTGTAACTCTCCACTGTGAGGGGCCCACAGGAGAGGAACTCTCATGTAAATCTACCAGTAGGCTGACGTCAACAGGGTCGTCCTGCACCTTCAAAAATGTTTTTCCAGAAGACGGTGGAGAGTACTGGTGTGAGGGTAAAGGAGGAGGGAGGAGGAGCAACAGCGTCAACATCACTGTCACTGGTACGTTTGTATTAAGACAGCGTTTCCCTGCAGTGCCCCGTGTCCTGCATGCTTCAGATCTCTCCCTGCTCCAACACAGATGGTTTCAATCATCAACTCATGATGAGGCCCTGAAGCTGCTTGATAACAAGCCCATCATTTAAGGTCGTGTTTGCACCTGCTATTAACATGTGTTTCTGCCATCCAAACACAAGTGAGCAACTGATCACTCTGTTGCTGCCCCGCTCACAATTATAATGTCCGCACTTTTGCTAGCTGCTCAATAACGTGCTCGCTATTCTCGTGTACTGCTTGTGTGGTGCACTCATTTCAGCAGGGTGGTGTTGTCTCAAATCGTGCACTGCCTTCTTGCACTCACCTTCACCTCTTCTTCTTCTTCTTCTTCTGCTGCTTCTTCTTCTTCTTTTCAAACGATGGATCACAAACAGACGGTGGATCGTTATCGCCAACATTTGACCTCTACCTCCGCCCACACATAAACCAAACTTGCACCACAGTGTCAGTGCTGATTGTAATGTCGCGCCATGGCTAAGAGCAAATTAGCTTGTTAGGGAATGCTAATGTTAGCACTCACATTATGGTTGATGCACTGAATCATCACAGACACACAAACATCACTGACGACTTCTATTCAACAACAGTTTTGGTACTTGGTGCAAAACCATGTCTAGCTAACAGGCTCTTTGTTGTTTGCTACGTCACAAAGATGGCGACCGTTGAGGCTGAGAAGTGTCCGTCATTCCACACTCAACTTTTGGACCGTTCTGAGTGTGTCAGTAGTACACTGCATGTTCCTGTACTGTGCAGTGTGAACACACTTAGTGCACTTACAGAATGAAGGAGGTGATCTGAGACACGCTGTTTGTCTAACTCAACTCAACATGGGTTAGTTATAGAGCATTACCTCATTGTCGTCAAATCAGCCACCACGCTCTGCATCAATGACATATTCTGGGTGTAAACAGGCTCGATCTAGAACATGCAGGACATGAGGTCCTCCGGGGAGGTTTGGGAAACGTTGCATGAAGACAACATGATTTATCATAAATTCAGTTTAACATGACATAAATATCAAACACGTGTTGTTCAGCTGGCTCAGTGATCCTGGACAGTCCTGCCCTTCCTGTGAAGGAGGGAGATGCTGTGACTCTGCGCTGCAGGAACAAGACAACCTCCTCAACCCTCACAGCTGAGTTCTTTAAAGATGGCCGCTCCAAAGAGAGCAGCTCTACAGGAAACATGACCGTCCATCATGTCTCCAAGTCTGATGAAGGACTCTACAGGTGCAGAATCTCTGGAGCTGGAGAGTCAGCAGAGAGCTGGCTGACTGTCACAGGTGAATCTCTGCATTGTGATACAAACACTGCTGCAGTTGTTGAATCTAATTCCCCATTAAAGTTCCGTCAGAGTCCCGTCAGGCAAAGTTTACATGGCTGATTTAAATATCTGAAATAAGGGTGCTGATATCGCAAGGGAGACGTCTTTTATCTTTGAGGTCAGCTTGATTTGACTCTGTTGCTCCAACTTCCAACATTTCCAGTCACAGTGAAGTGGAGCCACAGTCCCAGCTGGACGAGGACATCTAACTGGCCTACTGTCCTTGTCCCAGTATACAAGCACAGGAGGGGAATTCATTTATTGAGCCAAGTATGTGCGACTCCTCTACGATAGGTGGAGATATGCCCCCTTTCAGCTTGTTAGTATTGGACCTTTTTCCTGTTGACCTATTACGTCACAGACCAAACAATGGACAAACAAGTTAGCTACGGTTAGCTAGCAGCTAACTGCTACCATGGTGGACAACTTTACAGCTCTGTACATTTGGTCCGACTGAGCTGTGATTAAACTTTATTGGCAGAAAACTGTTGCTTATAGAAAGAGCATGAAAAGAGAGCACACAGAGGGAAATGATTTACAAGGCTTCTATCAGTGTCCTTGCAGGAGCTATACTAAGATACAGTGCCTACTCTTGTCACTGCAGAAGATCACAAAGAGACCACTCCCACCACCTCCAGCTCTACACCATGGATCGTTACGACTCTGTTACTGTTGGTTCTGCTGATGGTGGTGGGAGCACTTCACCTCGGCAAACGTTACTGGAACAGAGGTACGGACACATTTTTTTTTTAAATTTTATTTATTTAAAAGGGACAATATACAGCTCAAACATAAATGTCACCATTTGATGCACCTTACCAGATTATAGCTTCAAGCTAATTCGCGTCTGTAGTCCCTTGGCAGGTCACAGTAAAAAATAAAGTACAATAGCAAAACAGATAAAAACAGCATACAAGGATAGACAGAAAATAACAAGCTACTCGCGCACAGACACACACACACACACACACACACACACACACACACACTCCAAAAACCAAGTTCTAAAGACCACGTCTCTCTAATAACTTTGCTGCTTAAAGCGCTCAGAGTGAACTTTATCGTAAGGGAATCTCTGAACTGTTATTTTGTGAGATAAGCATATCAAGGATTTACACTTCACTAATAAGATCTGGGTCAAAAAACTGAAGTTAAAGTGTTTTTTTTTCTTTAATCAATTCATTTTTTTTTTTTTTTGCTTTACTCACCTGCAACTGTTTGACATCAGTTACACTTTGACACACCCAGCAACAGATTTGGCCAAAAAAGAAAGAAAAAAAAGAAGAAGTGGGGTTCACTTATTAAAACAGAAAAATAATTAAATTACAAAAAAGAGAAAAAGGGGACCCACTTATTAAAAAAAAGTAAAAATAAAAACACTTTGTGAAACTTTACTTGAAAACAGGTTTGTGAATATACTCTTCTATATGCCACAGAATTTAAGGACATAATAATAGTTTTGCTCTAATTTTGCGAACAGTCGGCTGTTCACTTTATAAGTGAATCCAATCAGTGTGACATTTCAAAATATCCTCACACAATGGCTCATATGATCCTATTTATTAGTAGCCCATGAATGACAATACATCCTTAATGTAAAGTAACGTAACGTAAAGCTACAGTGGTTAGATTTAAGAAAAGAAACATGGTGAAGACGTAACTTAAAATGACTCAAAGTTCAAAAGGTCCTGAACACTGGTCTCCAGGGGAAAGTCCTCTGTCTTGTGACTCATTCACCGCCCCACCCTGCCTCCTAACTGAACTGCTTCCTTCGTTACTCCCATCAGCGCATTGGTCACACAATCGCAGCCTTCCAATAGACGTGAGTTATACACATGACACAGGCTCATCGTCATGTGGGATGTGCAATAATTTTGGTGCATTACTTTTCAAAGGAAAATGCACAAAGTGCATGAGAACAGTCTGAATATTTGCAGTCATAAAACAAAGTACAGAAAAAAGAGGACAAAGTGTGGAGGCTGTTGTATTTGCTGTCTCAGATACCTTCATCTTATGTTGACGTTATTATTCCTCTTTGCTGCAGTGTTGAACAACCTGCCCACACTGACTCTCCGCTCGAGCTCAGCTGTCGACCAAACAGGTGAGAACGCAAACCATCCGTCTAAGGGCTCTGTTAAAAACCCAGACAACAAAGTGCTTCAGACAAGGAAGCAAATTAAAATGATAGTAATGAATGAATTAATTGTCTTTGTGTTTGTCTGTCTGCAGTGTCTGTTATGTGAACTGATGCATGTTATTTGTTTCAGTCTCTGCAGAGGCCGGTGCAGCTGGTGGAGACAAAGGGGTGTATGCTACCGTAACAAGAAACAGGAAGAAGAAAGGTACGTCACCAGGCAGTGTTATTTTTGCTTTATACACACGTTTCTATCTCATGTTTAGCACCTACCACAGCAAACAACATCTACGTCGTATATTTAATCTGTTTAAAAGCTTAATCTTTTTTTAGAAAGTATTGTTTGCTTTACAAACTCACTGCCTTACCCTTTAGTACTAATGCCAGTAGCAGATTTAAAATATGACTATGGTGTATCAAGCGTAAAAAGTTATATGATAATTACACAGTTTGTTTGCCTTTGGCTTTGTCTTGTAAGACATGTAGGTGCTGCTGATAATTTGAGCTTCCTGGTTTCAAACCACAACAGACAACCACAGAGAAGACAAGGGCCCCTCAGTGTATGTGGGGTGGAGGTTATGAGTTAGCCACAGAACAAAAGGGTTACCCATTCCTATAACTTTGGACATGCATTCAATGTAAAATTAAAGTTTCTGTATCATTCTGTATTTGTTCTCTTTTTTGCCGCCCAACAGCAGCCCAGCACCGACATGAAAATGTTGGCATTGTACATTTCTGCAAACCACGAATACGTTGCATTTGTTTGTTTCAGACATATCATATCGTATCATATGGTATCGTGGCCCAAATCAACCACTGGGTTAAGGTATATTTTACGGCATCTGACATATAAATTTGTGTGTCATCTGCATAATAAAGAATAAAAAAATCCAAGTAATTAGAAAAAATACAATCAGAGCACAACAAAATCAAAAGAAGACCCAGAACTGAGCCCAGGGGTACCCCACAAAACAGTGAGGTCCAACATAAATAATACAGAGTTCCCCACATTTTAAAGGAGCAGTCTGACATTTTATCTTTTATTCACTTTTTTCTGCCTTCGATAAGAAAACTTTTACATATCTGTGTTTTAAGTGTGAAGCTGGAACGAGGACGTGATTAGCTTATCTTGGCATAAAGCTTAGTATCACCAGTATTTACCAAAATGTGAAACTAGTCGTGATACAATGAGAAACATTCAAGGAAACAAACACATTTTCCAACTCAATTTTATATTGATCTGCAGCATCATCACAGATGATGTTGATATATTCATCCATCAGCTGACTGACACTGTCTCTCTCCATCAGATGATGATGCATTGGTGTCTGCACCCGTCTACTACACCTTGGGCCTGGATGACACTCAACAACTGGGTGAGACTCATTTTGAGTGGAACGCAGTTTAAATGGTGACTGATGTTGGGAGGAAACTGATATCAGACACACCACCAATACTGTGAAAATAAGTCATTGGATGTTTTGTTGAGTCAATATTTGCCAACATTCTGACATCATTTCATCTGTTTTCAAAGCAGGACCAGGAGCATCTACCACGACAGCGACACCTGTTCCCTCAGCAGGGACCAACCCATCTTTAACGGACAGTGCCTTTTACTCTACAGTCCAGTGGGTAAGATCTTTAAGTCACATTCATATCATGAGGGATGGGTGGTAGAGTTTCATCACTGGAAAACTTGTGATGAAGAGTTGGTCACATGAGGGTTGTGACATGGTGTACATTGACTGTATATGGGCAGCACGGTGGAGCAGTGGGTAGCGTTATTGCGTCACAGTGACAGGGTTTCTAACCCTAACCCTTCTGTGTGGAGTTTGCGTGTTCTCCCCGTGTCAGCGTGGGTTTTTGTCCATAACTGAAGAATTCATTCACTAATTCTGACCAAACTTGACACAAATGTCTAACAGGATAAAATAATGAAGGTCAAAGGTCAAAGGTCAGCTTGACTGTGACATCATCATGTTTTAACGTCATATCTCAGGAACAGAAGGGGAGACATTTGGTCAGATACTGAATTGGTGACTCTAATCTTGAAACTGTGCTGATTGTATAGATCTTCTGTGTGTGAAGCATCCATGTTTTCAAAAATGTCTTTGAGAAATATTTTCATGTTTTTTTGTAACTTGACATTTCTGCAATGAATTCTGTTTTCACCACCCTGACGCACTTTGTCATGTGTGTTTGTTGTGTGTTGTTGATGTGTCTTACAGCCTGCTGGGTGACTGCTAATCAAAGGGGGAGCTTGAAAAGACGTGTTCACCATTTGACACAGTGCACCCGAATTAGCAACGCCATGACATGAGTGAAAACACAGAAGTAACACAGCCCCATACTCAAAGGTATCAGTGTTTGTTTTAGCAGCTTTTAGAATTTAGTCTTAAGACAAAAACGTTTATTAGTGTTAGTCACGTTTTAGACTTTTAATGATGATGTGTTAACAATGTGTGTGTCATGTCTCCAGCAGTGTGTGACAGGTTGTATAAGATAATGTGTGTGTCATGTCTCCAGCAGTGTGTGACAGGTTGTATAAGATTATGTGTGTGTCATGTCTCCAGCAGTGTGTGACAGGTTTAAGGGCTGATTTACAAGCACACACTTACTGATCATCATCTGAAAAGCTCAACATCTCTCTATTTATGCTCTCAACAAATAACTAATGTGAGCCAACTAGGATTTGTCCCCAGGTTCATTGTAAACTCTGACTTATCCATGTGACTGTTAAGAAGCAGAAACATAACTTGATTAAAGCCTGAATTCTTTCTTCATCTGCAACATGTTACAGTCAAAGATTAAAACTGGACTCTGAGCTCATTCACAGAAAACTGATCTGATTTCAGACTGTCTACACAGATAAATGAGCCTGTTAGACACCAATCAAATGCTGACCTTCTCCAGACAGTCCAAACTGAGTGGAGACGTGTGGGGAAGAGATTTAAAGACAGGCGGGTGGCTGCTTGCTCTGCTGCTAACAAGCGGAGCTAGCTGCTAACAGCCACCGCTGCAACTAACAAACTCCACAGATTCATTCAGCAGCTCCACCATCCACAGTCAGACACACACGGCTGATTATTTACTGCTGAATTACAGCTCACAACTCGCACCAACCCAAACATCCTGGTGCAGACTATTTACTGGAGTTTACAGCCTGTCAGTGCTCCGAGCTCATACTACTCATGTGGCAATAGAAAATAACTGCAAGCCTTCTGCTCTTTGTCCAACACTGACACGTCTCATCAACAAATATGAAACATTGATGTTATCATAGCTTTCATTATCTAGATCTAGTTTTAACTTGTCGACGTCTTGTCTTTGTCACTAAAAAACAAGGTTGTTGAATACTTTTCATCGTTGTTTTTGTTAATGAAATTAGCACTGTATCACAAATGAATGTTAATTTCTGTACAAATAATGTTTGAATAAAACATAATAATGGACGAACACACTGAGTTGAGAGACAATGCAATTTGTTGATAAAGTTGGAGCAGCCATCTGTACATGTGTGAGATCAGTGGATGAGCTGGACTGACACGGCTCTAAGTTCATGTGAAGCGTTTTAAACTGCACTGATGTGGTCGTGCAGTCTTCATCTGACTTCGCGTGTCTATTTTTAAAAAGCACCAGTTTATTATGGTCTGTCAGTTTAACCAACTGGTTCCATCTCTGTGTGAGAACTGTTGACAGGAACTGGTCTGCTGCAGCTCTCAGACGCGCTCACTGTGGTCAGCTGCTATCTTAATGGTGTCACGTTTATCTGAAGCACTGAGTCTGATTTTAACAGTGTCTTATGTGCACTATCTCGTGAAAGCAGTGCGTGGGTCATGAACGTGTGAATGTTCCTGACGAGAAGATACGTGACAAGTAACGACGAGTACAGAGTAGAAAGGTCATGTGTGTGTCAGAGGGGTTTGTGTTTTTATTGGTCTGTGACACAAATGTCATGTGTTTATCAGGGTCCTCGTCACTTTGACCAGGCTGATAGATCTGGCTTCAACTGTCTGCTCCTGCATGAATGAATGAGGGGTTAAAGCTGTGTGTGCCCTGATGAAGACATGAATTATTTCACTTTCATTAAAGTAAACGGAGCAGTTTAAACTAACTGCACACGCATTAGAGCAAAGCTTCTTCAAGTTCGGCCCAGCAAACCCAGAAGTGATGAAAAAGGCTTCAGAATTGATTTTAAGATTCTTTTATTAGTTTTTAAAGCTCTTAATGGTCTTGGTCCTTCTTCTTTATCAGATCAGCCCTCTGGGACCCTCAGGTCCTCTGGTAGTTAATTATTCCAGGTGTTAGAACTAAAGCCCACGGTGAGGCGTCCTTTTCTTACTACGGCCCACGTCTTTCTTAGACATTTTATCATTGTCATATTTTAAATCCTTTATTTATTTCTTATTGATAACTTTTAGTCATATATCTAATATGCTTTTAAAGTTATCTATTTATCTATATACTTTTATTTATGTATTTATTTATTTATTTTTTATTTTATCTTTATTTTTTATTTCTATTTATATATTTTATTGCTATTTCTATTTATTCTTATTCCATCTATTTTTTTAACACTTTTATTTTTTAGGTTTTCTTAAGCCTCTTTCACACACAGCGCGATTTTTGCAGCGCCCACCGCGGGGTAGGGCGCAGAGCAAGCGGAGAGCAAGGCGCGCAAGACAGGATTTGGGGGAGTACAGGCTCGTTCAGGAGCTACAGCTCCATGGTGACCGCTTCCGGGTCTACTTCAGGCTCTTCTCTGCTATTGGACGCGCTGAGGTGTTGTCACAGTGCGTTGCGGTGAAATTAAAATTTTTTCAATTCGAGCGCAGGCTGGCTGCGCGCAGACGCCACGACATGCGCCCTCTCGCGTGCTGCTCAGCTCTGCGGCAGAGCAGTATGCCTTTGCGCCACGATAGCACATACACAATGAATGGGTTCATCGGCAGAGGTCTGCGCTTTGCACACTCTGTGTGAAAAGGGCTTTACTTATATTTTATCTCCGAGGAAACGCCATCAGTGAGGAAACCACTGATGGCGTTTCCTCGGTTCTCTCAGGTCCTTGCACCTCGCGCTGGTGTGCGTCTCGTGTCTGGACTGTGTCTGGATGTGATTTGGCCTGACTACATCTACGCCTGGCACCATGTGTTTCCATCAGGGCATGATGGTGCCGGGTGTGGGTGTGGTCGGGCTGCGTCGTGTCTGGACGCAGTCCGGACGCAGGATGCATTTGTCTTTTTATTTTGTGAAGCACTTTGTGGTGCAGTTTATTGCATGAAAATGTGCTATAAAAATAAAGTTTGGTTGATTGATTGAAAGGCTGTAATAAAGTCTCGTGAGCTGAGTCTTGGTGCAGGGCCAGGTTTCACACACAGCTCTTGCAGTGTACTCCAAGTGCCTTTTTCCTGAAGACATGAATTCCTGCTTAAAAACAGATGTCCACAGACACAATGTCATGCTCTCATAAGTGCACTCTGCTCAACCTGTTCTCAGTTCATCAAGTACAAACCGCAAATGTGACTACGTTAAATGCTTATGTGACCGAGCCTTTAGGGAGACGCAGTTAATGGTCACTTTGTTACAAAAAACAATCTGAATTTGTCAGAAGGATCAAATTACAAATCACACGCCAAAGTGAAAGTATGGATCTGTCAGAGAAGCAGAAGTGCCGGAGGTGCCGCACCTTCGTCTGGCTAACACTGGAAATATGAGGCAGGCTGTGGTTTGGCAAAGGAAACCCAGGATGACTCAATCACTGAAATGATGCTTTGTTTATTTCCTGCTTTCAGTTCATATTTTGGCAGCGTTCCCAAGAAATGAGTTCACACACACACACACACACACTCGCAGACGATGATGTAGTGTTAAGGGTTTTTACTGATCATGGGACCGAACCGGTTATTCTACATCAGCTGATTCTGAGGTGGCGGTCTTTAATACCAAATCCTGATTTACAAAAATAATAAAAATACAAAGATGAAATTACAGGAAGTCATGCTGTTTGCTGTGAAGCCAGTTAGAAAAAAATCCCAGTGATATATGTGTGTATAATTATATATGTGTGCATATAAGAGGTCATGATTTCAGGTTACTCCAGCAGCGGGTGCTGACATTGAAGCTCCTCACACAGTAACAGCCTGACATCATTATATGGTGTCGGCTCGTGTCAGAGGCAGTGCAGGTGAATGCTAAAGGCACTGTCACCCACAGGGGGCGCCACAAATGAGTGAAGAGCGTTATTATTTTTTACTAAAACTGTGAAAGCTTTTATTCTGAAATACAACATGAAGTCACAACAACAGAACTGCACGTCAGAGCCCACTAAATAATAGAGAGGCCTTTTTTTTGCCCCCCCCCCCCCCGTTACACTTTACCTGCTCTCTGGGGGGGCGGAGTTATCTGACGTGACCTCACATGAACGCTGAAACACGCTGTATTGTTATCATGTCAAAACGACTCAACTACCACGACACTGCTGAGAGGATCAGCAGGAGGAGAGCTCATTCAGTTAGCTGTTAGCAGTTAGCAGCTAGTTATCGTTACCTCTAAGCAGCTCATGGAGGTTGCGCTGATTTACATTGTGAAGCGTTCAAGCTCTACTCAGTAAAAATGAGCACTGGGTGAGGATACATTTTAACGTTCTCCTGATGTGTTCAGTGTAATCTTGTAAAATGTAGCTTCTGGCTCACCTAGGGCATCGAACGTGCTGATTATATTCTCCTTAAAGTTCTGTGCAGGTTTTCTGTTGTTGAAGTCGTTCTGTATTTGTGTGAATAATATCGTCAGCATGTGACATTAAATGTTAAAGTGAGTGTAAATACTGAGACACACGCTGTCAGACAGAAGTGTTTTTCTTCCATGTCATCAAATAAAGAAAAGAGACACGGTTAATAACTGACATGGATCTGCACGAGGCAAAATGGGAATTATGTAAGTATTTTCTGGCTGAAGTAAGACTGAAGACACTTTAAAACATTAACTCAGTTTTGTGATCAGGACTTTTATTGGACTCGTCAGTCTGACCTGGTTTGTAGTTGATGGGCCGAGACATCGAGTCCCAGAGCGCTGCACAGGAAGCTAGTTCCCCACTGTGCGTGTGGTGTCTGTCTGAATAGCAGAATATGAAATGTGCACATTTCCTTTCCTTAGTTCCTCCATTTATTCCTCGTCTGTGACTCAGACCCATTGAAGACTTCTACTTCTGCTTTTTCAGCACAAAGTTTACACGGGTACAGTTGGGGAAACCCAGGAGCTGTGACTGTGATGAAATGAGGACAGGACCACATTTACTGGACTTCATATTGATGTCACAGAAGGCCTCAAGCAACATTCTCTTAAATTTCTCCGGAGCTGTCAACGTTAATTTGTTTTTAACTGCATGATGCTATTTTCGCTGCTGCCTGACTCTCAGAAGCTGTAGATGGCTGAGTTTTAAAGCTACAGTGATGATACTGGCATCATATGAAACCCAAGGAATCCATGTTGTGCTAGCCTCTCAGGAAACCCGGTCTCACTCCAAAGTTCTGGGGCTTGCAGCATCAGACACTGACGAAAAAAGCTGCCCTTTAATGTTGGCATGATGCGCAGCAGGTTGCCGTTACACTTTAACGGCACTCGGCAGTGACGGGGAAAAGCAGTAGGACAAGAGCAAAGCTTAAGGCGGCGAAAGTCCGAGTTGTGGTGGATGAGTCCAATCAAACACCAACTTTCACCCGGGAGAGAGGTGTTCATGTCCCGTGTTCCTTTTTCCTAAACGTAACCACATGCGTGAGTTGTTGGAGGAAAACAAATCATCAGTTGGCGGTGTTGCACCGACGTAGTGCTTTTATTTTGAAAGAGACTGTGTGCAAACTGTACATTTGTTCATTACAGATATATGAGTATAAAAGCTTGACCCACAGTGCTGAGCTACACCTCAGATTAATCTTTAGGTTTCCAGCTTTCAGGTGACACGTACCACCTCTATGTAGCTTATACTGTTGACCTGCTGTCTCCAACAAAACATCCCGTCCCTCCTAAACAAAAGGCGTCTACAGTGCGTGGGTGTCAGGGTTCATTGTGTTGTGTCTCTTCCACCACGCTGCTCTGATCTGAAAGACATAAATCAAAAAGGACATTTCTTTGTCTCCCAATCAAACTGACGGCCTGAAACACTGTGTAGTAGCAGGTGTTGTCCCGTGTGTGAATACTTGAGATGCCACTAAAAAAGGTTGTAGGAAGAAGAAGAAGTTCAGAACTTGCTGTTAAATAAACTAAAGTAAATGTGATTGTTCAGAGTGTCAGCACTGGAGTTACAGAAAGAAATAATCAAGGACTGAGCAATGGCAAAACATTTGTGATGCTGTTCATGTCAGCAGCAGCAGCAGCAGCAGTGGACCAAGTATTTGGATCCTTTACTTAAGTACAAGTACTAATACCACCCTGTAAAATACTCTGTTACTAGTTAAAGTCCTGCACTGAACATGTAAGTCATGTATGTAAGTAGAGGTACTCCGTACAGGAACGTTTAAATCATCATATTAAATCAATGTAATTAAAGAATAAAAGGAAAAGCAGTCGGTCATCATATCTGAGAACCATTAGATGTTTTGCATTAGAAAATATTTCTGTAAATCTCTCAATTGACTAATCATTCCAGCTGCACTTGTTTCATTTCCTGTGGCTGACCTTTTGCACTCCACCCCCATTTTGTAGCAAAAACTCCTAAAATGACATACCCAAATTAAAATGACTGTAGCTTCTGAACCGCTCTGACTACATGCATGCATGAGGTCTTGCCAGAAAGTAAACTCTCTGAAGTTTCTTGTGAAAGTGTCAGAAACACTCTAGGTGATACAGAGACAGAGTAATGGGCCTCTGAAGTCAGTAAAAAGATTTTGCCTAAAATAAAATAAAAAATGTGTTTCAGGATGAATAACTGTCTGTGGCTTCATCTGAGCAGGTAAATGACACTGTGGGGCTGTAGGCACACTATCAATGAACACTTGTTTCAAATTTGAAGAAGACTGCTCAAAGTAAGAGCAAAATAACAGCAAATGGCGGAGATGTAGAAAAATAAGAGCAAATCTTTTCTTATATTGTGATTGATGGAAATTTCTCTCACAGAGATTATGACTGCAATTTGCATGAAGATTTTGCTTCAGTGAAACCTGAACGCGAAACCTGAAATTAATAATATAATGCAAATGTCTGTACAAATTATGCAACAGTTCAGGTTTATGTAATGGAGACCCTTCGATGGACAATGGACATGTTCAAGGACGTGACAAGATAGGGTTGATCAAAGTGCTCTGTTAGCTCCTCTGAAGAACTGCTGTTACGTTAGCTGAAGATAATGGTCACACCCTCTCTGACCTCAGCAGTTGTCAGAGGGTATAAGACTCTGACATGCCATGTGTTTCCCAGGCCAATGAATTCCACTAGACCACTTTAAGGTTAGCTCAGCCGAAATTGAGGAGGCTTTGCTGCAATTCGTATGCAGTTAGGGGCCATCTGACTGAGCGGCGGCGTATCATACCACCACGGAAACTGGTTTTAAGCGTCGGTGGCCGAAGTCACCGACAACTTCGGAATGAGAATAGACTCAATATGTAGACGTAAAAGGCCACTGACAAATCGGCATCATGCGACGACTTGGGATGAGATCATGTTGAATATTTTCAATGTTCCTTAAATTTCAAAGAGTTTCCTTGTGTTGGACGAACAATTCGTGGATTCTTTAAAAACAAGATGCTTCCGTCGTCTTTCGGTGAGTATACTCTCGACCACTCGTGAAGAAACGTTCTTACCTGTGAAGAGAGCAAAATCAGAACTAATCATGGAGACGTACAAAAATGAGAGGAAGTATGTGTTTATATTGTTTCTCACATGAGGCCCAGTGTTTGGAAGAGACATCTCTGACTCTTGGACTGATTTTAAATCTGTAAATGTGATAAAAGGAGGTCAAGTACAGTGAAGGGTCTCATGTCTTGTAGCTCAACTGGACTTTGGCTCTATAAAACTCTATTACACCCTGGTATCTGTGCTTCAGGTAAAAGAATCAATAGATGTTTAAAATGCTTTGATAAAGGAGTGTTTCTCTGTGTGTGTGTGTTTCAGTTGCTGTCAGTGTGCTGCTGCTCACGCTGTACGCGAGCCACGCCGCCGCCGTCAGCATGAAGGAACACCTGGCTGATTGTCTGCGGGACAAAGACTACGACGAGCTGCTGCAGACTGTGAAGACTGGCCTTCCGCACATAAACACATCTCATCATGTCGTTATTGTTGGAGCTGGCATGGCTGGACTGACGGCTGCGAAGCTACTGCAGGACGCAGGACACAGGGTACATCCAGCAAACTGATGTTATAAATGCCATTTCCCAGTGACATCAGCAGCAATATCGACAGGAGTGGTATTAACAGTATTCGTGATATCTGTTCTGACAAGGTGACCATATTAGAGGCTAATGGTCATGTTGGAGGACGAGTGGAGACCCACAGGAATGAAGAAGAGGGCTGGTATGCTGAACTGGGAGCCATGAGGATCCCAAGTCATCACCAGTGAGTTTGTGTTTTTTCAATTTCAGTTGAGGATTTATGTGAACATGTGCACGCAGCCCCCGCCCCCCCCCCGCACAGACTGCAACAACTGTGTAAAAGAGATACCGCTCAGACCTAGATGCTACCAACTGATTTAAAGAAGAAAATTAAACCTAAAAGAATCCAAACACAGAGAGAAGCTGCTGGATCGACGCGTTAAGTCACAACTCGTATTATTTGTACTTTTATTCTTATATTGTTTGTTCGTCATAATTCATCAGCACCTGCTCTCCTGCACCACTGCACAGGCCTTCAATGAACAGTTAAGCTATTTTAAAGGTTGTACAGTTGGTATAGCGTACTCAATATGTCAATCAGCAGTACATACATTTTGTTGTTGAGGCCAGCAGAGGCTGCCAGTGGTTGTCACTGTCTTGTTTGGTATTAACTAAGACTTCAGAAATGATGTAGTGATGTTACACGGCGTAAAAAGACCACACGCTAACTCTGCCACCATCACCTCCTCTGTCCACAGCATCGTTCTCTGGTTTGCTAAAAAGCTGAAGGTCAAGCTAAATGACTTCATCATGGATGACCCCAACACCTTTTACTATGTCAATGGAGTGCTGAAGAAAACACACACGGTCCAATCAAACCCTGACGTTCTGAAGTACAACGTGTGGCCAAGTGAGAAAGGGAAGTCAGCCGACGAGCTGCTACAACGAGCTTTGAAGAAGGTATAAAGGAAGATCACACATCCCTGGAAAAAAAGCTGCTGCCAAACAACACGTTTACATATATCAAACAAATGTGTTCATCGCTTTTCTCCACACATTCTCACTCCGACGCCATCACATATTGGTGTTTTGGTCATGGACTTTCCACGTCCACATATGACATGGCCTTATAATCTCACGGGACGTGAACACTGCTCTCTCAGGTGAAAGTCAGCGGTTGGTCGATCCATCTACCCTTTCCTGCCTTAACTTTCTTCATTGCCCCGCCGCGTTTCCCCCGACACCCCCGTGCACCATTAAAATATAACAGCAACCAGCCACGTATCATTCCGACATTAAAGGACAATCTTTTTACGTTGGTTCCTGATGCCACAAGTCACTGCCCAAGCGCCGGATTTCGACAACTTCAGAGTGAGACTGGGCTCATTTTGTTGAGCAAGATATCGTTGGCATAGAAGGTATATATAAAATAAGAGCGACATAGCTAATATTATGGCTTCCACCATTTTGGATTGTCTGGGTATCGGTTCCATTAAATGTCACAACTGACATCATAGTTAGTAACTGGCCAACAGCATAAATGAGCATGTTCAACAATAAAAAGCCTCAACCTGAGCAAATTCAGTCCTCACAGAGGTCAGAATTTTACTGATTTTTAAGCTTCTCCCACCAGTAAGGTTGAAACAAGATGTGTTTAAAGTCCTGGCTATTAGAAAATCAGACAAAGACAAAAGTAACCCAGTCGACCAACACTGAACATTCAGCATCTTTTAGCCCCGTACCTACCAGACAAAAACCCACGAACACTAACCAACATCTGGCTTTTGTATTTAATGAGAAAGGTTTCAATCAGGATTCACACTGGTGTCAAATAACTCTGCAGTAGTAAGAGGAATTTATCCGCTCCAATCGGCGGCGATGGAAACACAAGCCCCTTTGCCAGCTTGATGCAATCGATGCAACTGATACTGCCAGAAAATACCATCCATCTACAACCGAGCAGTACGTGAGACAGAGACTGAATGACACACATGTGAATACTCATGAAAACACCACATATTCAATGGATTATTCAGATGACTTCATGAGTGCACTCGACTTTTTCCTTGTGTTTGTTTGCAGGTAAAAAATGAGGTGGAGTCACATGGCTACTGGGTCGCACTGAAAAAGTATGACCGTTATTCTGTGAAGGTAAAACACAACATTGTGTCCTGAAAGGCTGTGAAATGAGAATCATCAGCATTATTTTTGACGCATAACAAACAGCATAAATACAGGACAACATCTTATCAAATTGTTGTTTTTAACAAATGATAAGTCTTTGGAGTCACTGGGACTGCATGACATGGAACTCTGTTTATTTACCAGGAGTATCTGAGAGAAGAAGGAGGTCTAAGTCCAGAGGCAGTGAGGATGATCGGAGACCTGCTTAATGAACAGAGCCTTATGTACACAGCGCTGAGTGAGATGATCTATGACCAGACTGATATCAATGATGACACTCGGTGAGGCTCTACACTCCACACTGTCAACTCATCAAAATGGGAATAGCTTTTTGCACAGTTTATAAAACCCTGAGCCAGAAAAAGGGACAGTCGTCACTGGGGGTGTAAATCATCCGTTTCTTTACAATGTGATTTTATAGCGATTGTTTGTACAATGATACGATGTTTGCTGATATCACAAAGTCTGCCACGATACGATTTTGATTCAGTGCAATTTAGAGGTCTGCGACTGATGTGAGACGATGTCACCTGATCAGTTAATTCAGTCTGTTCCAGAAGAAGCTGAAGAAGCATGATCAACTTCAGCATGTTCACATTACATGAATTATCTTCAGTAAAACTCATATCATGGCAGCTTTACAAATTCACACTGCTCTCTAAGAACAGCATCTATTTGTCTTTGTGTTTTTAAGGTACTCAGAAGTGACCGGTGGGTCGGACCTTTTCCCCAAAGCTTTTCTTAACGTGCTCAGTGACTGTGTGATTCTCCTCAACTCCAAGGTCAAACGCATCAGTCAGTCAGATAAAGGTGTGATTGTATCGTACCAGAGAGACCAACACTCGTCTTTTATTGACCTTCCCGCCGACGTCGTCCTGGTAACGACCACAGCCAAGGCAGCTCTCTTCATTGACTTTGATCCACCTCTCTCCAACCCAAAGACGGAGGCACTGAGAGGGGTCCACTACGACAGCTCCACCAAAATCATCCTCACCTTCAGCAGGAAGTTTTGGGAAGATGACGGCATCCGAGGAGGAAAGAGCATCACTGACGGACCCTCTCGTTTTATCTACTACCCCAGCCACAGTTTCCCGACCAATGAGACCATCGGCGTCCTCCTGGCCTCCTACACCTGGTCTGATGACTCCCTCCTCTTCCTAGGTGCCAGTGATGAAGACCTGAAAGAGCTGGCTCTGAGAGATTTGGCAAAGATCCACGGCTAGCACTTCAAGTCTCTGTGCACAGGGGTGGTGGTGAAGAGGTGGAGCGATGATCCTTACAGCCTGGGCGCCTTCGCTCTCTTCACACCTTACCAACATTTAGAGTACTCTAAGGAGCTGTTCAGACATGAAGGCAGGGTGCACTTTGCTGGTGAACACACGGCCTTCCCTCACGCCTGGATTGAGACCTCTATGAAATCTGCCATCAGAGCTGCAGTCAACATTAACAAAGTCACACTCTTGGATTCAAACTCAGTTAAATATCCAGAGCGAGACGAGTTCTAGGGTCTGAAGAATCAAGTCTCAGCAGAAACCAAAAAGTGCAACATATCTGGCTGAAGCCACAGAAATGTGTTGTTAAAATGCCACTTTGACAGAACACTAATGAATCAAACCTGTATGTGCTATATGAAGTGTATGTTGTTCATAATTACGTGTACAAAGGGAAGAAGAAAAGTATTTAATAAAGAATATTGAAAAGAAATGTCTTCATTCCAATATTTAATTTGTCCTCCACCTGTTCATTGTCTCCAGCTGCTAGTCCAGCCTCTGCTAGTTCACACTGCCAGGATGCAACCATTAATGCTCATATTCAAACCTACGGACAATTAGAGTCAGCACTTGGTCTGCCCTGTATATCTTGAAGGATACTGGAGCATATTGTTGAAGACAGGTGTGATCATACAACCTGTCATTAGAAAGCTGCGCTCCTCGTGGTTCCATTGATGCAGACCATTTCAAGATACAACGACCACTGCAGGTTCAATAAACACTTTTAATAAACTTGGTGTTTCAGACGAGCTAAGTCCAGTGAAATATTCAGTCCCAACACATTAGTGCATCCATAGATATCCACAAACTGCTGTTGCATCATCTCAGCGTTCATATTTCTCCACATATTGTCCATCATTTCTCCCGTCCTGCGTCTATGTATGCCGTCTGCTTGGTGTCAAAATGGTGGCCGACCCCCTGACCTTTTGATTGACACCTCACCACAGCCAATAGGAGCTTCCACACTGGCAGTCTAGGCTTCAATAGGCAGAGGAGCAGCCTGTCCAACAGCGGACCCTCCCCACTGCCACTCCGTCTTGGAGTGTCAGTCCAGTTGTGGTCACCTTAACGGCTGGATGAAGCACTCTACGTCAAGGTGTAGTTTTGGGACAAACTTCCCTCTCTGCAGCGGAAAAGGAGCTGTTGTTTTGTTTGGTAACCATGGAGAAAAGTATAGTTCCTCCTATGTTATGTTCTTTATGTCTGTTTGAATCACTTTTATTTGATTCATGCTGTTTACCAGTGTTTATTATCCATTTGCTATTGAAATAAATAGCCTCAATAAATAAGTAAATGAATCAAACAATAAACAAAATGGAATTAAACTGATCCCTGATATTCTTCGGTGACTTTCTTGTCTTTACATTTTGTAAACATCTTCTCAGTTTTTCACTCTGATGTTTATCAGCTGCGGTTTTGCAACAGTTCTTGTTACACTATAAAATGAACACGTGTACTGTTTGATAGAGACCACAGAGGTGAAGGGTTGATCCTGAATATAAAGCAGCATCTGAGATGATAATGTGTGTGTGATAATATGAAATGTCTGTCTCAGTTTGAACAGTTTACATTTCTCAGGGAAGTCGCGTGGAACTTTATTTGTAGTTTGTAGTTTATCTGCAGTCGTCTGCAGCGTCTTTGTTTAACCTCTCTAACTCCACGCCGACGTCCTCGCTCCCCCCCTCCTCTGTTAAATGGTATCTCCCAGGCGCACTACGTCATCAAACCATGTGATGTTTGGTATCGCCGGATTCAGAAAAGGTAAGAGTCTCACTCCTACCACTATTTTTGGCTGAGATATACCGTCTAGAAAGTGGGATCATAACTTTCACGTTTCATATGGCTTTATTTGGTGATATTTTATGGTGTTTCTGTGTCATAAACAACATCAGCTATCATAATCACACCTGATTTCAATAAGGTACAATGTTTGAAGCTGGCTGAGTGTTGTTTGATCACTGATAGTACTGTTTTGAAGCAGAGTGACCGACTTGTCATTTGGAGCTCCGCCTGGATCTTTTCATGGTAAAAACACTGTAGAATGGTCATACTTTGAGCAGTCTTCTTCAAATTTGAAACAAGTGTTCATTGATAGTGTGCCTACAGCCCCACAGTGTCATTTACCTGCTCAGATGAAGCCACAGACAGTTATTCATCCTGAAACACATTTTTTATTTTATTTTAGGCAAAATCTTCAACTTTTTACTGACTTCAGAGGCCCATTACTCTGTCTCTGTATCACCTAGAGTGTTTCTGACACTTTCACAAGAAACTTCAGGGAGTTTTCTTTCTGGCAAGACCTCATGCATGCATGTAGTCAGAGCGGTTCAGAAGCTACAGTCATTTTAATTTGGGTATGTCATTTTAGGCGTTTTTGCTACAAAATGGGGGTGGAGTGCAAGAGGTTTGTTTAAGAAAAGATTCAGGTGAAGGTAACAATAAAATAAAAACTATATTTCAATGTGTTGAAACTTGTATAACTCAGTGACTGTTGGAGAAAACACTCCAGAGTGTTACCTTCAGATGAGACCATGCATGTACACACACTAAACACTGAACAGGAACAGCTTCTAGTTTGCTCTGGGTCTGACGTGGCCGTTTCCTGAGAACTCCACAGACTTGCAGTTCTCATCCATCCACCGGAGGCTCTCAGACTTTCCCAGCAGTCCCAGTCACCTGACCTCTATCTCACCTGCTCACCTGTTCTTCATCAGCCAAATGCTCTCACACAGTATTTATACCAGCTCATCTCCACCTGCTCGTGGCCAGACTGTCAACCATGCTTCCTGCCCTGTGGACCCTCACCTGTCTGGATATGCCACCCTCACCTGTAAGCTTCACTTCATCATGTTACCAATAAATCACTCAGCTGTTCTCGTCTGTGTTTGGATCCTTTTCCTACCTGCCTTGCACACATCAGCTCTTTGTGTCAGCACCAGAATGCAGCGTGTTGGAGCTGGCATTTCAACCACTTCTCAGACTTCTTTAAAACCAAACCCAGATGAAGATACCACACCTCCATGTGTGGCACGCTGACAACAAGTGACTTTAGCAATGTGGTTAGCAAATAATTCTGTGGTTGCATTTTTGGCAAGGTTCCCATAAGGTGACACAAGCCGTCGTCGTTGCTGATGATGAGTCATAGGACATTTTGTCTCTGATCATAAGACCTGGTTAAATATGAAACTGAAAGCCAAACCCTGATGATAAAGAAATGACAACATGCATAAAGCCATGCTGTTTGTGGTCGGCTCGATCAGATGAGAGAAAAATTCCAGCATTAAGGCAGCGTGTGGTGGGCCTATATAAGAGGATATGAGTTCATGTGCGCTCACTGCAACACCAGATTCTGTCGTTAACGCTCTCTGAAGGTAGGAATCATTTCACTGTCATTTGAAATGAGACTAATATATCAACATAATGAATTATCTCTTTGTTTTTCTGTCACGTCTTTGATGAGAGCCTGTATCAGATCTAAAATGGAGACTTACACTGATACAGCAGACAGAAAATACATTTAAAACATGAAAGATCAATGAAAAAAAAGAAAGTAAATTACAATACCAATTTATTAAAAAACTATGGAAGTTGCACATCTTAATTTAAAAAATAGAATTTCCCTGCTGGGTATTAATGAAGTATATCTTCTTCTTATTTGGATTCTGAGTGTTGTTGATGCGTGCACAGAAAGTGTAGACGAGCTAGAAGATGTTAGTTTGTCAGGTTTAAACATTTAGTTTCTCATATTTCTTTTTCTCTTCCTCACGTCATCAGAGACAAAAAGAAGACGAGCATCCAAACGGATGAGATGGATCCACATGTGGTGAGATGGAACTTATGTGAGTAACATTGTGTTTTCCTTTTCTTGTGTCTGAATAAATATTCTATAACTCCCCCAACAGGTGAGCTTTGTTTAAATCAATGAACTGAAAGTGTGAGCGTGGCTGTCAGTCTGTCCCTCTGACATGTTGGTGTTTAATCTGACTGACTGCTGGAGGTTTAACAGTGTCAGAGTTTAGTTTCGCTTCTTTTGTGCTGTGCTTTTAAATATGTGATGTACGTGCAGATTTAGCTGCGGTCAGTTCCTTGATCTGTTTCCTTGTTTGTGGATTTGACTCACTGGAGAAATGAGCGCTGTGCAGCAGTTCTGCTGTTGAGCACCATGTTTTATGGTGTCAGTTTGATGGTCATGACTGCGTGATGAAATGAGGGCGGGGCGCTGTTTACTGGACTGTTTATTATCCAGACATTGGACTTGTCTGAAGGAAAACAGAGGCCTCTGTTGTTTGTCTCAGCATAGTAGAGATGAAGAAGACTGTATCCTCCCCTGTCAAGGTTGGGTCTGATGTTGTGATGCCTTGACTGCAGTTTTGACTGTGTCCACATCTGCATCACTTCAGTCTTTGCATTGAAGCTAACGATCAGGTGGGTGGTTTCTCCTCATCTCTGATGAGTATTGTCTTTGATGGAAGGACGTTCACTATAACCATCCAAAACTACAGTTGCTTTGTCATAATGGCGCATGGTAAAGTCTGCGTATGACTGTGCAATGGCACCGTAACTGTCGCCCCTTTTCCATGCCGAGCTGTGAACCAGGGAGCCACCGTCAATGCATTTTCAAGAGCACAGTATTAGTTTGTCTTCAGTTAGCAGCAGTGTTTGTGGGTCAGCTTCTCTTTTGTTTTCCAGTGAATGAACTTCTGCTGGTTCGTCCTCGCCGTCACACGTCCCCACAGGATCTCAATGCTGACTGGCTATCGTGGTGCAGATCAGTCACTAATTCAGCGTATGACACAAGATCATCAAGATCATTTTGTGTTATTCACTTGCACATATAGTTTTATTAGCACCTGGTGTGGACACAAGGTTAGAAAGAAATGCTGAAGGACAGATTGCACTGACTTGTAGAGGCTAGGTGAATAAAGGCCAGCGCAGACATGACGTCATGACTGATTTATGTTTTGAAAAGTAACAAGTGTCGCCTCAACCTGACTCCAGCTTTAGCCTTCTTCTTTCTTGATTAAATATCCCAACATGAAGGAGAGCTAAAGATCTTTCACACTGAGTTAAATGCTGTGTTTTTCTCTCTGTGTGTGTTTCCAGTATCTGTCAGTGTGCTGTTGCTCACATTGTACCTCAGCAACACCACCACTGCTGTCAGCATGAAGGAACACCTGGCCGACTGTCTGAATGACACAGACTACCCTAAGCTGATGCACACTATCCAGAACGGCCTTCCACGAACGCATAACTCTCATCATGTTGTCATCGTCGGAGCTGGCGTGGCTGGACTGACGGCTGCAAAGCTACTGCAAGACGCAGGACACAAGGTGCATGCAGCAGGGTGATACTTTAAAGCAGTGACGGCCAAGTGAAGTGTCAAGAACCATTTTTTAGTTTTATTTTCAGAGCACATTAGATGGTGTTCTTGGT